CCAGCAAACAATCCAAACTGCACCTCAAATCTCCTTTTTAGTTTTAATAAAAATTTTACAGGACTTACAACACAATCAGTTCATATGAGTGCCACAGATTAGAGGTGCTACAAGAAAGTAACAAATACAAAAAAGAAAGACGAGAGAAGGGACTATAGATGTTTGACAGGAAAGGAGCGAACCACTCGACAGCACCCACCAACCACCAACCCTCAAATGTCCAAGTGAAAACTACAACCCTGGTCTAAACCATACCTTGAGAAAATTCCTATTGCACATCAAGGCATCAAACAAATTTCTCTAGGCAGTGCGCTGTAAATTGACACGGTATCGAACTGACGCTCCCAAGTTAGCAGATTAATAACAGGAAGCACAAAGGGCTACAAAACCAGGGATATTACAAAAATGAGATTCAAACACAGGTGTGTCATATTCCTGAAAGAGCTACAATATTATATGGGCTTTTGTTTTGTGAACAGCTTCAAGGTGATGTGAACAAATCTCACCTTGAAAATATATCAAATCTTCAACTACAATGGAGGTATATGGGAGAAGTTGCATTGTTTGATGGCGCTCCACAAACCTGTACAACTAAGCTTAGAAAGACACTGAAAATTCCACTGAAATTGTTAAACAAGTAGGGAAAATGCTTCTGTTGATATAGACTATATAACCAGTGTACAAGTACAACTTTTAGTGGCTGATGTGTCTGGTAAAAAAAGTGTAGGAGCAAATTTTTCTCTCGAAGAACTTTTATCTGAAAAACTAAATAACTATTTTCTAAAGCAGTCCATGAAACTGCCCACGCATTTTCGAGGATGATTTTTTTGCTAAAGTGTGAACCATCTTGTAATTATTGTAGAGCATTGTGCACACAACACATCCCAGAACAGTTGAAAGAAGAAAAAGAGCAGACCTAGTCAAATCAGCTTCACAGGGAAAATTCTAAGTTATGAAGCTGTTTTGTCAGTATGTTTAATTAAGAACATCTTACAAAAAGCATAGATCTACGTCTGCTTAAAAAAAACGCACTCTCCCCCTAGAAAAACATAGCAGGAAAAAAAAAGCCACCGTCAACTACCCTTGAGGTCAAGATGCGGAACACACAAGAGCTGACAATGCCTGTTTTTGACACTGTTATCTTCCCAACCCTTTTTTGTCCCTCTGTCCCAGCAGTAATGATACACAGAAAAGCACCCATGCTCCGACCACATCAATGATGTTGGTCACAAAATAGCCAGGTCTCTGATTTTTTTTTTCTAAACCTACTTATGAAACACAAAGGTCTTCTTTAGGAGAGATCCAGTTCTACCCAAAATCAAAGATTTATCTCAAACACTATTAACTATTTTGAAGTAAAAGACAAAACCCCATCATTTTTAAAATAAACTATGCTAAAGTTGGTCACTTTGCAATGACAACATTTCTATGCTAGGAATGACTCAAGACCTCAATTAGATATATTAAAGAGAACCTGCTTGTGTAACTAACAAGAACAGCAGTACAAGACAAAATAGCACAGGGTGATTTGAAGACATCAAAAAAAATAATAAAACCCTCCCAGAAACAGCAACTGCTATACATGTAATCAAAACCAAACAATCAATTCACAACTTGAAAAACTTGTCAAGAATCAATATATTTACAAACAGCTATTTACAGAACACAATGTAAACATGAGCTGAACAATGCAACAAATTAATGGAAACGGAAAAGCTTTCATCAGAGATCAGTTCCAGCATAGAGCTGTTAAGTAGTACACATTTCAACAACACAAAAAACTTGGCCAATGGACATTATTATAAAACACAATGGAATTCACTCATGGTAAAACTTCTAGCAGCTAGGGGTTTTATTCAAAAAGCCCTTTAAAGATACCGAAATGATATTTTCATAATTCCACCCAAAGAACACTCAGCCTTTCAGCTTACACTTACAGACATCAGCATTTGCCTTGTACTTTTTTAAAGCCTTTGAGCCCTGCCTGCTTCAACCCACAGAACCTGTGCACCCAAGTTCCTGGTCAACGTCGGCTACATATAACTACCATTTGCCTTTAGTTTTAGTTTTACTAAAAAGAGTTTTATGACACCTGCAGCACAAATAGGTCATACATGATGCACCTAAGATTAGAGACAGAGGTATTACCAAAGAGTTACCAATACAGAGAAGGAGGAGAGATAAGGAAGGTAGATGTTTGATAGGAAAGAGGGAGCAGACCTCACTAGAGCATGCAGCCACCCACTCGCTGAATCCTGCATTTGGTGCACAGAAAGGATAACACTGGTAAACATAAATTTTTAAAGTTTTAGTAGAGGTTTTACAGCGGTCACAACTGCATAAGGTCAAATGAGTGCCAAGGGGTGGATGTCAACAGAGAAGCCCTTACAGGGAAACAGGTTTACTCTGCTTATCTCTCTAGCTTCAACAGCGCAAATTCTGCTTCGACTATCATGGCACCCCAGAAATAACAGGTCACAAGAGTGTGACAAAGATACAAAAGAAGTAGAGGAAAAATAACGATAATAAGGATTAGCAACCAAAAAAAAAGCAGCAGTTTCTTGTTGCAGTTCTGGGACAGTTATGAGCATGACATTGATGAATCAGCCCATTTACAATTCTACTGTGCATAAGAACAAGTTAATGTCCCCCCTTTGGAATGGCCTAAAGACACTTCAGTCAGTGGCACCGCCCGGAGGGGGGGGGGGGGGATAAACATTAAGATTTCAAGGCCTAAATTAGTAAATAGGACACTCACGAGTGTAACTTGCCTTAGTAATGTCATCACACTGTATTGTGCAGCACATAGAATAGCTTCCAGCCATGTCAACATAGCCTCCGGTGGCCCCTATTATCACAATGTCAAGGACATAAATGACAAGACCATGACAAGTGCAAAGTTAATAAAAATTGAAAAACAAACTTATCTAAAGAAACAGAATGAAGTACACAGTCTACTTGAGTCTTAATTAACGCAGGTTTACCATAAACAGATTCCACTGTACATCACTGGGTGAGAGTGGTAAGGACATTCAACGACATTTGCAAATGTTCCCTCAAAGACGAGAAAACAAATGCAACCAAACAGGCTATCAAAACAGAACCCTACCTATTTAAGGTTCAGGTTTGTTCACATTATACAAAAACAGCAATTACTAACACTATTTGAGTGAGAAAAAAACAACTGAAATGTTAAAAAACCCTACTTGACAAATGATATGTTGAAATGAATATAAGAATGGAGCACAATTAGTAATATCAAAAGGTGACAGTGTTGTATGAAGCCAATGTAAGACATAGTCATACACTTAAGCTGTCATGATGATATCCCAACAAAAAACATTAACTCATTAGTACCTTGCACAAAAACATTTACACTTTGGGGTCTTTTTCTCCTTTCTGTCTGTTTTTATTGAAATTCAAAACTAAGAGGGAAAGGGCGACACAAAATATTGTCAAATAGAATCTTAATTTTAGCTGTAGAGAAAGATGCTGCCTAAAATCTTGGTAAGCGAACCAACATGTCTGGCTTCCATCCAAGTACAAATTAGTAGAGCACAGTGTTAAAAAAAACTTCTCTCCAAAAAGAAGCTCCAAAAGAACTTCCGCATGTCTGAGACCTGACTTGTGCAGTCTGCGGCAGAACAAAGAAATAACAATGCCACCAAACCATCGATGCGATACGGTTTCATATATCAGATGTCAGCATAACCAAACCACTGTCTTAGTGATAGCATAGTAATCCAGCCAGTGTGATCTTTCCACCGTAAGGTCTGTACTGTACATAAACTGACTTCAAGTGCATTTCAAACCAGTGTAGACACACGTTCATTCAAATTATGGGCTCAATCCAGAAGGAAAGAAGAATATCATCCACATTATGATAAGATCGGATAACAACAAAATTTACTATCTCGCTTTATTTTCCTAAACGTATTCTACAAAGCATGTTTCATTGGTTAAAATTTAGATTCAAATGACCAAAAGTGGACTTTTTTCACAGAAAAAAAATCATATAACTCTAAGTTGTCCATTAACATATCAGTTTTTGCCTTCTCCTGAAAAATGTACCCTATGTCACTTATCCAATCTTATCACGACTGTTACCATATACTCATGTTTTATCATATTTTTATAAAATCAATCTAAATCATTTACTTCATCAGCTTTTAAAGCTTACATAAAAATATTGCAGCTTTTTTCTCCCATGTAATGGACATGCAACGAACATTCAAATACTTAGGAGAATAACAAACAAAGCAAACAAAGAAGCAACTGAACAGGGATCTCGAGAAAGACAGCCCACAGCAAGATGCCCACAAGCACTGTAGAGTAGATCATCAGATCCAACAACAAACAGAAATGGCTGAACAGATAAGCCTGTGGCACAACTGGGAGAAAACCATTCCAACACATGGCCATTTAAAACCTCAAAGACAATGGCTACCATCCGCTAAAGAAAAATCAGGCTATCATTTGCCAAGGAAAAAAACCACCCAAGAACACCCTTATTTTGATGAAACGCCCTCAAAAGCAAAAGTTGATATTACTTGCAGCACATTTGGTACATCAACTGTCACTATTTCAATGGACAAGGCTTACAACTTCCTATTTAACACATTACACCCTAAGGGCCTGGACGGGAAGCCCATTGTTAGATCCTAAGCAAGGGGAAGGAACCCTCCTCCCATGAATACAAGCGTCTAAAAAACACATTTTAAAAACACTGAACAAATTCCCAAAATAATGAAAAAAGAAAAGTTAAAAAGAAAAATGAATGTAGTTTCAGAAAAATATAACTTTATGTATGCGCAAACTGTTGGAAAAGTTCTAACTTGAGTTCAATCGGGGTGTCCGACCCGTCACTCTCACTTTCAGCCTCGCGATCGAGCCTTAGATCTAAATTCTAGATTTTCTACCTCTGATCAATCTGAGTCGCCCCAAACTCTTGCTACAATGTTTTCATCAAAATCTGATTCATCTGATTTGTCATATGCTTGTTTTTGCTCAAAGCGATCGTTATTTCCTTTTTCAAACTGAATTGTGTCGTTTTTCAACAAGTCGAGACACCTTCGAAGTGTCAGTAACACGATCGCACTTCGATCGGCTCTAATACTAAAACAACTGGCCCGAACAATTTCGTTTCGATATCAAACGGAAGAAGAAACATTTTGCAATAACTGTGCAAATCAAAATCTCGGCCCCAGAGTTTCGTCAAGGCGAGACTTTGTTTCTAAAGATGCCAGGTCGGCGCAGGTGGTTCCGGGCGAGTTAGGGTGGAGCGTGTAAGGGAATTCGCGGGCGATCTCGGGCGAGTTAGGGTGGAGCGTGTAAGGGAATTCGCGGGCGATCTCGGGCGAGTTAGGGTATAATGACTTGATCTCACTGGGATTACTGTTGGTAAAATAAGAAAGAAAGAAAAATTCTCACTCTTACAATATCCAACAAGAGTCAATCTAAAAAAAAAAACCCAAAAAAAACTTGAAAGTAATAACAACAAAAACTTCTATCACAATGCTATAAAACGGGATGAAATGAACAAAAATTGCAGTGAAATGTCAGGAAACTAAATTGCAAATGTTCCTACATCATGACTTCGGGATATGGACATTCTACCAATTCAAAATAAAATTTTGAATAATCGATGTCAATCAGAAGTCATGGTTGTAGCTCCTGCTGCCTCTAGATCCCCTCCCCCCCCTATACAAAAAAAACATCAACAAACCAAACAAACAACAACAAAAACACTAACATACTAAAATTATACCAAATGCTATAAGGTACTGCCTCCTTTTCTGGGGCTTTTCTTTGATGGTTCTTCCTTGGAGTTTGGAAGTGTTGCTGCTCTTTTCAAGGTGGGTTCCATCTTCCCAGAGGAAAGTCGTCGTATAAGTGTGGGGTCACGGTGGAAACTGATGGACACCTCCTCATCAATGCTCTGTTCCGTCTCTCCTCGACTCAGCTGCTTCAGTGTTTCCATTGTTCCAATGTCCAGATCAGGAATGGTGGATAGCTGAGGAACAATTGCAATATTGTACACAGGAACTCACATGATTTAGTAACCAATTCAGAGGAGTCTATATATGGCTAACCAGTACACTGGTACCAAATAACAATAGATTTCAAGCAAAACAGCATTATGGGACCAAGGAAAAAAACATTAATTTAACCATATACATCCTGCATATACATCTTCACAGTAGTTTCTCTCCTAGTTTATAATATGGTCACAGAATACAAAAAGACATCATTATATTTGAAAACCATCTAATCAGAGTTCATTTCAAATAAAGCTCATGGTATACCTCACTTGTTTTCCCTTATCTCTGAAGCAGTTATCTAAAGCAAGACAACAACAAAAAACAGAAAAAAAAACACACAACAAAATCGAATTTCCTGCGAAAAACTCACAGCCAAGCAGAAAGTCATGTGACAATGGTACTTACTGTGGACCCAGAGTCTGGGCTGTTCTCCACCGCCGTCAATACAGGCATGTCATCCAGAGTGAGGCACGGCAGACGACGCGTGTAGAACAAGATGTAGGCCTGAGACTTGAGTACATCTTCCAAAGGAACCAGCTGGACACGTGAATCATTGCAGTGCACCCACGACTCTGATGAATGAACCAGAACTAAAGTTTAAGTTTAAACAAAACTTTTACAGCACTTGCAACACAATAATGTCATATAAGTGGTGAAATGAACCAGAATGAAAATTTGGTCCAAAAGGCAAGTCAGCAAAACTGAAATATAAGCCTTAGAAATTGAGGCTGGGTAAATGCTCAGAGAACATAAAATGACAGCTATGATTTTGTTTGTTATTTCACCTTTAACTGAGCCAAACATCTTATTAAACACAAACATATTTTATCAAAAACAGAGGACTTCATCATATAGTCTGAAGTCTGAGTGCAGAAGCATTCAAGAAAGGGAAAAGAGGACGGAAGAGACCATACACCAGAGTAAATATGACAAGTGTACATCTGAGCATAGATGTGCATGTGAGCAGGTCCAGTATTACAACAGAAACATCTGCTTGTGTGCAGAGGACCAGTATATTACTTCTTCAGCGCAATCAAGGAAATCAAGAATCTTGCTTAGTTTGTGATTGAGCACAGGCCAAGCAGTGACAGGTTTGTACGATGGATCATGCCTCAGACTACTCCGTCCATCATACTGGTTGAGCTCATATTCTTAGGAAATAATATTCTTTAACAATTACAGGACCAAAACTCAAGTACTTCCTTGTAACAGAAAATAGTTTGGTTAGTTTTAGTAAGTGTTTTACGGCACTTTCAACACAATAAAGTCATATAAGTGCCAAAGGTTAGAAGTGTTACAAGAGAGTAACAAACACTAAAAAGAAGGAGGGGAGATAAAGACGAAAGACGTTTGATAGGAAAGAAGAAGCAAACCACTCCAGAGCACCCGCCAACCACCCACTAACAGAAAATAACCATGTTCTTGCTTGCCTTGCACTTCCTTGTGACAGTGTAATTTGAAGAAGGTGACATGTTTATCAACCCAAAAACTACACGAAAACCAAGGCAGACATATACGTTACTCAACATACCACGTACTGACATTAAAAAATAAACGAATGAACCAACACTAACCAGCCTGAACATTGTAGGTAAAAGTCGTGTAGTGACCCGCCCGAAAGCCAGCGCCATGGTGCACCACAACTGCATTCAGCCGATAATGAGACAGTTCCGGGCAGGACTGGCAGAACGGAGTGATGTCCAGCTCTTCATCAAAGGCAACATGGGTGCCAATCTTCTCTCTGTGGTTTCTGCCACACCACCTGTGAACGGACAGAGAGAATTTTTCGATAGATAGCCGGATAGATAGACAAAGCTAGGAAGGTAAACAGGCAGATAGACAACTAGATAGATGAATGGATACACAACAGACGGCCCATTGAAAAAAAAACTACTTTCACCTTTATGAAAGAAAGCACATTGTTGATTTCTTCCATTGGAGGAATAAAAACTATATCTTATTTTTCTCTTCTTTTAAAATGTCCACTGACAAAAACCATTACCATCTATTTGTAGTAAGCACAGGGGCATATCCCTAGAGTTTTTTTCCGGTTTTTATGAGTTCAAACTCGTATGATAAAAAAAATAATGTAAGGAACTAGCACTATTAACACTAGCCCAAATTACAAATAAAAGGGGGGTGGTTGCTTCACTGAGGTCAATTCTGTCAATGAAACTGACCTGAACCTCTTCAAGTGAAGTCGCAGAATCTCTGGGGGTTGACTGATCAGCAGCTGCTTTCGGGCGTTTGTCTTGATTTCTTCCTGCTGACGAGACCTCCGCTTCCTCTTTCCTAGATATAGAAAGAACAAATGACAGAACAATGGAAGAGGGACATGAGGAGGTGGAAGAAAAGAGGAACAAAACCTGACCCTGCACAATTATGAAAAAAGATACTTTGAAACTAAAAAGAACATAGCATAAAAAGATATTTCAACACTTCATGTACACTTTAGACTGAAAGCACATTTTCTTTCACCAAGGTATAGAAAATGTAAATAGGAATAAAAAGGCCAGCCACAGGAGTCACTGTGACGTAGTGTCAGCCTACAGTAAGCAGAGGCACAAGACTGTACTTTTACTTTAAATTCTAATCAAATTTCAAATGACTTGATCATACAGAGAGAGAGATGTTGACTTACTGTTGCACTTTTCACACGCATAGCTTGACGGCTCTAGGTCCTCAGTGGTGGTGAAGGTAGACAGCATCTCTGCCACAGGTATTGATCACCACAGAAACATGGGGAAGGAATAGAAGGGAGAGGGGGGAGGGGGGGTGTAAGCAGATACAAGGGAGATGAAATATTTGAAATATTTACAGTACAAAATATTTGTGGGCCACAAAGCAAAGTGTTAATACATATCATACCCCTATACTCACTTTTCAGAACAATAAAAAATCATTACCACTAACTATTTCCATATAAAAAGTTGAGGACAAACACTGGGAATGTAACAAGAACAGAGGAAATTTAAATTACTATCACAGTCATACAGAAAGTCACTGCTCTCTCTACTTCTTTACATACTTCTTTACATTTGCATCATGGGGGGCTCTCGTAGCCTAGAGGTTAAGGTGTTGGCCTCTCATTCAAAAGGTCCCAGGTTCGAATCCGGGTAGCGACCGAAAAATTTTCTTCTCTAAATTTGTCTCCTTTCACTTCATTTCCTGTTCTCTAGCAATGTTCTGTTGTCTGCTTTCGTCTCCTCTTTCTGCCCTCACCCCCTCACCTCCTTTGCCCCTTCCTCTGGGCTCCTGATTCTTTCTGCAGCCTTTCTACTGCAACTCCTTCGCTTCTTCCTACCGCTGTCTTTCAGCCACACCCCTGATCTTCTGGTAGGAAAGATCTGCACCTAGCCTTCTCGGACAAGGGCGAAAAATCTCGGAGGGCCTGTGTGCAAGTTGCGCACGTTAAAGATCCCTTGGTGGTCTAAAATTGATAAGAGCAGGCTTCGGCCGCCACCCGGGCAAAATTCAAAATTTCCTACCAACTGAAAATATTAAGAGTGTCCCGCGCGCTCATATGACCTTATGCAGTTGCGAGCGCTGTAAAACACTTTACAAAAACAAACAAAACAAAACAAAGTTGCATCATACCTGCTAATAGCACTGCACTACTGCCTCAATCTAGTGAGAAAGGATGAGAAATTACTTTCTTACAGAGCATAACGTTGCTACATTCCACCATCTCTTTCTAAACATTATTTTAAACTGCCAAAGAGAACATCTTGATTTCCACTGTCTTCAAAAGAAAAATGAATCAGAGGTTCAGTGGTTGCTGAATCAAGAGCAAAAAGGAGCAGGAGGAGGAGGAGGAGGAGGAGGAAGAAGAAGAGGAGGAGCAGAAGGAAGAGACGGAGAACAACTAAAGACGTCAACTACATGTGTAAGCAGTCACCAGTGATGTGGCACATGTGCCGACGCGTCTGACCAGCCGTGTACTGGAAGCTACGAGGAAATTCCAGAGACAGATCCAGGAAAGGCTCGTGGCGAGATGACGTGTTGTTGCATGTGGAGCACGTCACCTGATCAAAAAAACGCACAGTGAATCACACGAAAATTTATATATTAGTGGTGTTGGGCAGAGATGTTCCATATCCAAGAAGGCTATTTTACAGAAGCTGCACACTGTTTAGTTAAAGTATTCCAGACCACTTCAACTAAGGTTTGGCATAAATGAAAAAAACCACCAAAAAAACTTGACAAAACTTGATGTTCAACTTCATAGAGATTGCACATTTGACCCAGCTTTACAACATAGTCAAAAATCAAGTTTTAGAAAAGTTCAGAGCTGGACTATCTCTGTCTGCCAACTATACCAATATGGTGTTGTAGTTGAAATGAAGCACAGCTGGATTAGTATTAACAACAACAATCACAATTTGTCAAGACCATATCACGATTGCCAAGTCTGGATTTTTAAAACAAATTTATCATTTATTTATATATAACTTATTGGTATAGTAAGAATGCCTGTTACATGTTTTATACCCTCAATAAAGCACAGTTTTGTTTTGTGTACTGAAGATCCAATTATTGAGATTTTTTCATTTTTGTTGAAGCGGATAAAGGTGAGCACTATTTATTAAAGTTTTCGCAAAACAACAAAAAATGACTGAGACAATCTGCTTTATCTAAACAGCCACTCAATAGTCAGACAAAGAAACAAAAAATCACCTACCTGGCTAACCAGCTCTCCGCGGAAATTCTGGTCCACAATGTTCTCTGAACCAGCACACTGGGGCAACTTTTCAATCTCCCGAGACAGCTTGTCCAGTAACTCACTGTCAACACACACACATGATCACACACACACATGATCACACACAGTTGACTTGTGGTTTAAGCCGAGTCCGCATGGTAACCAACACATTTCCTTATAAACAATTCATATCTGCTACATGAAAACTGAGCTACTTCATTTGATTTTGCTCTACAGGGTAAGTAAAAAGAAAAAATTGAGGTGCCCATTTCCTTGCCTGTTGTTTGTTTGAGTATATAGAAGCACATCGACACAATGTGGTCATTTACTTTTAGTGCAGAGAAAAAGTAAGACAGAAAGACAGAACCAAACATAAAGTAAAAAAGCAGGATCTACCAGTGATGCCCTCCAACCACCCACTCATTTGCTTTTGACACCAATAAGATGACAAAAGTAACACTGAAGAGGAGATGCAAGAGAAACCCAACTACTCTATGAACAAACAAGGTGTCTATTTATTCATTTCAGTTAAAAGAAAAAAACGTGCTGAAGCTCACTGCAATAATTACTACAGAGATCTGTGCAAAAACCATTAAGATTACTGCAATAATATTTTTAGGTTAAGGCTAAGATATGACTTTAAAAACTTGCAACATGTACTTTGAAAAACAATTTAAGCAGAATATGCCGAAGAGACAACTTCATTGAGGAACACCGTAAAAGATGATGAGGACATTTTAAGGAGATGTAAAATTTCAGGACCAATTTCAATCAGCACTCCTGTATAAACCTACAAAGCAATATATATTGCACATCTCTACATCTGGAGTATTTATATACAAGTATCTTTACTTAAGTGCATGAGAGCAGTAATCATTACTTTAACTATATGCCGACTTTCCAAAGGTGAGGAAAGGGTGAGCAGTACCATCACTGAGGTAGGCAAACAGGCAGAAAACATAAAAATGTTAAGAAAAGAAGCTTAGCCAGCTGACGATTCCTAATAGTGTTGGTAGTCTTTGGGGAAAACAAAATATACCTCACCATAAAAACTCTTGAGCATCATGCTGAGAATGACCTTTGAACATTGGAATGGCTCGCCAAACAGCGTGTAGAAAGCCATGGGGGCTGACCTGTGCCCACTTGCCAGACCACAGGACACGCAGTAGGCCGTGAAGTTCTTGACATAAGGATCTGGGAAATAAAGTTATTTTTCATTTAGTAAGAGTTTTAAAGCACTTGCAAAACAATTAGGTCATTAAGTGCCAAAGATTAGAGCTTTTAGAAGAGAGTAACAAACACAAAAAAAAGGACAACACATGTTTGATAGGAAAGAAGGAGCAAATCACACCACAGCAAACACCTACCACCCAACTGTTTATATCATTTGATGGTCACTTAAATCGCGTGAATTAAGATTAAGATATATGTCACTACAAGTTTGGACTTGAGATACATATCGAGTCATGAAAATACAACTGTCTTCAAATGAATACTCTTTTGTACCATTGTTTTGAGAAAAATGCAGATAAACATTTTGGCTTCTTGTAATTTGTAACGTAACACAATCATTATTTTATGTTCATCATGTTTTCTATAATAGACACAAAGCTTAAAGTTACATAATTCAGTGTAGCCTGTAATTTAATCACTCCCTCTTATTTCCTAAATTTTGGCACTAATTTTGCTCTCAAAGATTGAGAAATCGATACTGCAATGCTATAAAATAAGTTTATCAGCATCTATCTCCATTTGAACCAAGGCAATTAAGTGGAGAGCCTATCAAACCCAAGTTCAAGAACAAGATCTGAACCAAGGTCATCCATACTAAATCCCTGCATGATACCATCAGAACTAATGGTATTCATTCATGGACATGTATGGAGAAAAGAAAACAGCCTGCTGGATCAGGAAAGGAATAATTACACAAAAGAAAGGGAACATGGGACTCAGAAAAAATAGCCACTTTATGACAAATTTCCTCAGAACCACACACATATAAACTTTAGTTTTACCCTTTATGAGACAATAATAGAGGGAGATATTTCACAAAGGGTAAGAACACCCCACCCCCACCACCCTCTCCCCCATTAGCAAGTGGCAAAAGAATGAATTCCACAATCTACAGAAGAATACAAACGATAAAGAAGGAAATAGAGCGAAAAGACTCACAAAGTCTTCAAAGCATCTGCTTTTGCTTTGATGATCTTTTCCTCGGCATCCTCTGAGCAGATGTCGATCTTCAGACCTGAGTAGTCGTTGCTCCCTCCACCATTCAAACCACCAGATTTCTTTGGACTGGAGCTCTTCGTTGCCTTCACCTGATTGCTGCTGGTACTTTTATTGCTGTGAGTAGCTCGTCTGGGCTGGAGCAAGCTCAGATGCTGAGATATCATGTGAAAGAACATTTAAATGTTGCAGTGCTCAGATGCTGAGATATCATGTGAAAGAACATTTAAACGTTATAGTGCTCAAATGCTGAGATATCATGTGACAGAGAAAGAACGTCTAAATGTTGCTGTGCTAAGATATCATGTGACAAAGAAAGAACATTTAAATGTTGTTGTGCTGAGATATCATGTGACAAAGAAAGAACATTTAAATGTTGTTGTGCTGAGATATCATGTGACAAAGAAAGAACATTTAAATGTTGCTGTGCTGAGATATCATGTGACAGAGAAAGAACATTTAAATGTTGCTGTGCTGAGATGATGAGATATCATATGACATAGAAAGAACATTCAAATGTTGCTGTTAAGTTAGGTTGTTATTTGTTTGGGAAAGAGTTTTACTGCGTTCGCAACTACATAAGGTCCTAGGAGCACGCAGGTTGTTGTTTACAGAGCCAGTAGACGTTTAGTTCTGTTTTAATAAAAGAAAAGCGTGCTGCCACGATAAGGGCTATTAAATACAGTGAAACTCGCATAAATTAAAGTCATCAGGCCCCACCTTCAAGATCATTGAATTCGAGCGTTTTAAGAAAGGTGAGATTACTCAGACTGTGAAAATCAATAATGATGCAAACATCTGTTCCGACGGTGTCATGGTACGAGTATAAGGGGAAAGAAAAACAATGGTGCTCAATTAAAGCTTGCTAAAATGAGCCGTTGCTTCCCTTTATACAGCCCCTCACCAACTGATTCAGTGTTGCACAAGCTTTGCTTTTTATTTTTCCACGTGAACCGCAACAGAACTTGTGTTCTTTGTCTCTTCAGTTTACATATTTTTTGGTCCACAGCTGCTCTTAGCATCTCCTTTGCCTTTCAAGAAAGTTGACAGAGAGCTTGGTACACTTGATATTCACCATAGACCCCCTCCCCCTCCTTTTTTTTGGTACTTCAAAAACAGAGATTTTTTTGGTTCCAACATGAGTTACTTTCTTTTCTTTGCTGCTATACAGAATATGTCCTAAATTCAAAGTTGAAAACTAAAGTACAGTCGAACCTGCGTAAGACGGAATCGCAAGGGAGCGGGAAAAAAATTCCGTCTTAGGCATTTTCCATCTTAGACAGGGGAATTTAGGGGGGGGGGGTTCAAAGGCCCAGCCGGTGGGATCAAGGATCGCTTGTCAAAACTGCACACCTCTCAACTGCTATCCTGTCTGATAATGACATGCGTCAGTTTTACTTATCCAATTACCACCAGTGCTTGCTTTTCATAGGACCACTGTTTGACTCTGGCTTCTGGCTACCCAGGAAAGTTTTCGTAGTGGCTCGCTACTCAAGCACTTTAACGGGCAGTTGTGAGATTTCACATCCACACTACACTGACCATCTGCATCGCTCAGGGCTCACATGATGGGATAACATCTACCCTCTAATTGCACCCCTACTCCCCTTCTTCGCCCAGCAGCACGGCCATTGCGTTAAGTTTATAGTTTATAGCCGTCGGAACTAAACTTGTGAGTTCTGTTTCAAATCAGGGCTGAGCGGGAAAAGCATTTTCCGTCTTAGACAGGTGAAACCATCAGAAGGGAGCGGATCTTTCTTTCCGTTTCCGCGTTGGACAGGTTTCCATTTTACACAGGTAATTAAAGAGGAATATATCAAGGGAGGAGCGGGGAGATTCCGTTAAGACAGGCTTCCGTTTTATACAGGTTTCCGTTAAGGCAGGTTCGACTGTACTGCAGTACTACAGTATATATGCAATTTTTCAAACAAGTGGCATTTTCTTATCTTTGATGCCATACGTCAGAGGTTTTAGACTATGACAAACGTTTGTACGTGTAAAAAGGCTGATTCATTCAAATACACGCCAGTTTTGAAAGAGGTATTGTTTATTAATGAATTGTTAAACAGTAGTGTAGGGATTAGCAGACAGCAACTTAAATTTTGGTACCACAGACCAGCACACAAATCCTTATGTAGACACATGTCTGTTTATCACTGTTCGGTAGCAGGGAAAAAAAATAGGCCTGGCACATCTGACGTTCCCAACATGAAATGTTTATTCACCCCTACCCCCTCACACACAAGCACACACTGCCACACCTGTGCTGGCTGCCTGTCTTTCTCTCCCAACCCTAGCACATCAGCAACATATTCTTCTCATTGGCTGCATAAGATGGCTGTGTGTCTCCGACAGGTCAGTCATTGAATAACATGCAGGTAAAAATTATTAAAATTTTGTAAAAGATCTGGAGTGAGAAAAGTTGGGGGAAAGAAAAAGGGCAAAGAAAGGTTATGAAAAAGAAAAAAAGTGGTGAACACATGAGCCACGCTCTCTAACCTGGAAGTAGTCGACGGTGTTGAACCTGAGTAGCTGTTTGGGGACATTTTGCCCTAGAGAGGGGGAGGACGGGGAGGTGCCAGGCAGTGGTGTGCCCGTCGGGGAAAACAGACCAAACACCAACTGGCAGAAAAACTCCCGGAAGTCCTCCAGGTGTCTGTGGAATAGACAAGAAGTATCAACACCTACATCTAGATCGGAAAAGTAAAAACTACCTGGATCACCGTCTATATTTACTACCTACCAAAGAAAATTGATTTACAAATGTTGTACTCTGTCCATCTGATAAAAGAAAACTGGGCAACTCATCCACAGAAGTCAATTCATTCATACAAAAATAAAAGCGCACACACGCACACACACACACACAGTGACCAATCCACCTACCCGAGAGCCTGTATGATAGAGTTGATGTAGCAGGTGTTGCCTAAGTTCCGCATGCCTGTGACTCCAGGGATCAGAGTTCGCTTCTTCACATGGAACAGAGTGGACCCGGCTCTTGTCAGCATGGGAGGGTGAGGACTGACCGAGGTACTGGGCGTGGCCTGCAGGAGAAAGCCGAAAGAAAGCTGCAGACTGTCCTAGTTTACTCACACTGACTGTAAGCCATATGCAATAAAACTTCTGAGAAGCCTCCATTTTTTGTTTCTACCAAAAGTGAAAAAGTGGACTCTTCACACTGTAACTGTACAGCTTAATAACCCCTCTGACATAATTTACATCAATCAGAGAGTGGGTTGCTTTAACCCTACCTCTCAGCCCATCCAGGCAGAGACTGATACAATGTCCAGGCAGAGACTGATACATTGTCCAGGCAGAGACTGATACAATGGCCAGGCAGAGACTGATACAATGGCCAGGCCGAGACTGATACAATGTCCAGGCAAAGACTGATACAATGGCCAGGAAGAAACTGATACAATGTCCAGGCAGAGACTGATACAATGTCCAGGCAGAGACTGATACAATGGCCAGGCAGAGACTGATACAATGGCCAGGCAGAGACTGATACAATGGTCAGGCAGAGACTGATACAATGGTCAGGCAGAGACTGATACAATGGCCAGGCAGAGACTGATACAATGGCCAGGCAGAGGCTGATACAATGGTCAGGCAGACACCAAATAAAAGGACTGTCTCATCAGAAATCAAACACGTCTTCACCTACAACAGCCAAGAGCCTGATCACTACAGCACAGATGAAGGTCGCCTCAGACAGATAGTCGCCACATACGCTGATACTTGTAGCTAAAACTTGGGACAAAGGGTCCCTTTGAAAGATCAAAACAATGTACACTTGCACACTTTATCAATTACAGATCTGAGAGACCTTGCTGGCTCTTGACAAAAGCTATTACTGCAAAATGCTTCTGTTTTTAGTTTTTAACTCTTTTACATATATGTGGAGCATGAGCTGACTAAAAGTTGTATAAAAATGTTAGTGGTATGTTTCTGTCCAGTTTATGCATGTGATGGTACAGAGAGCAAAACTACAAGGCAATTTAACCAAGCCTGCACAAAAGTTTAGCACATGACATCAACACTTTACATTTTTCTGCATTAAGTGCTTAGGATGGAAAGTAGAAAGCAAACAATAACCTATTTTATAAGATTTTACTGGTGTGACATGAGAAGGAAGCTCACCTTTTCTTTCTTCTTTGCATCAATGAACTGCTGCCAAGAGGCAAAGGCCTTTGCCAGAAGAATTTTTCTGGGAATTAAAGAACAATTTGTCTGGCAAGGTACAAAATGACAAAGCTAACTAATATGAAGAAATTAATTTTGATGAACAGAGTTCAATTCCACAGAAGTTCATGACAAGTCAGAATGACAACAGCTACATTTCGCTATGAACAGGTTGGGACAAAAAAATAACACCAAAGCACCCATCTACTGCCCAATCTTAGACTATTTAACAGTGCATTTTTCACACACACAAAAAAAGAGACTAGGTAAGTTGATAAAAAAAGAGTTTTTGAGTTGAAGGTTATAGTAAGTAAGCATAATCAGCAGGCATATAACAAAGACGAGGGGAAAAGAAGAGCAAAAGAGAGAAAAAGAAGAGCAAAAAAGAGAAAAAGAAGGATAAAGGATAAAAAACAAATCACAATGGGGGCCGATGAGCAGATTTTTCTTACTTGTAATGGCAGTCAGCTGTGACAAGGCGATCATTGTCATCTGATTGGCTCCTGAAATGAAACAGAAACATTTTGTTAAATCTTTAACAGTTTTACATTTCCACATTCACATTATGCAAGCAATTTCAGACTGAACGAAAATTAGAGTCAATCATTGTTATTTATATAATCCGCCTTAAGAAATAAAATACAGTCAAACCTGTGTAAGACGGCCATCCATTGTCAAGGAGAAAAGTGGCCGTATAAGACAGGTGGCCGTCTTAGGCAGGACTGATCAAGATAAAGAAAACAAACCATTCCCATCTGAGGCCCCAATCGAAAGTAGCCCCATTATGTTGTCTTTGTTGGTGTTGTTGTTGTTGTTGGTTTGTATTTCATTTGTAATATTTATTTTGTCGCTGATTTTGCACAAGGGTGACAATAAAACTAAATGTATGAGACAAGGAAGACTGAGTGCCATGTTAAAACAAACACATGGGTCGCCACCACTCGGAGAACGAGTGGCGCTTCTGTAACAAGTTCATGTTGACGTCCTTTGTTACTTTGTTACAGACTGGGTAAACAGTGACCACTCATCTCACGTACGATTTGTGTATGAGTTCTGGGCGGGGCTTATGGGTTATGAGGGATCACACGCTTACCTCACCAGCAGCTGAAAATTGGTAGCTATTGGTCAACAGTGGGAGGGGCCTACGCAACATGATCGGTTGGAGGGTCTACCTAACAACAACGACAGGTGATTGAATTATGACGGCTCGCCCACAACGCCAGGGGCCAATGCACAATTTATGACAAAACGTAATGGAGTCACTAAGGTGATCGTCTTACACAGGTGTTATTGCTTAGTATGATAGGGGTTGTGTGTTAAATTATGGTGGCCGCGGCCGCGTTGGACAGGTGCCCGTTTTACACAGTTAAAATATATAGATAAAACGCAAGGGGGGAAATGGAAAGTGGCCGTTTGTACAGGTGGCCGTCTTATAGAGGTGGCCGTCAGTGCAGGTTCGACTGTACTATATAAATCTTTTTCTTGGAAGCTTCGAAAATGCTTAAAGGACCTTTCTTCGCAAAATAAACTTTTCATGTTGTAGAGCTTGATCATGTGATTCATAGCATTTCATGTGGGTAGACGGAGTTTTTGCACTGCGTGTTCTTATGTGGAGACCACTGTATATCATAGAAGTTCATGTAATCTACAAAACCTAAATTACATTATTGTTTCGTATCTCATTTGCAACAAAGACAAGAAGGATAGAAATCAATTGGACTCTGAACAGAACAAAGTATTTATATGTTAATGAGCTCAGCATACAGGGACTTCAGAAAAGTTTTAGAAAGAGTTTTACAGCACTTGCAACACAAATAAGTACCAAAGATTAGAGGTATTAGTACAGAGTAACATACGAAGGAAAGAAGGCACAGAGACAAGGATGATAGATATTGAATAGGAAGGAGGAGCAAACCACACCAGAGCCACTGTGCAAGGCATGAAACTTGATGAGGCAATTACCAAGAGATCTCCTGTGTCTGTGAGTAAGAGCGTAGCAGTTTTCCTCCTCTCTGCTGCAACTCCTCCAAAGACAAGGTACCGATGGCCGTGAGTGCAGACCGCAGAGCCTCCAGATCACCTGCCGCGTTGTCCCCCACAACGTACTCATCACAAACATAGCTGAACACCGGATGACAACATGAGGAGAAAGAACACAAGGAATTCATGATTTACTCAAAAACTGAGCATAGTTACTGAAATATTATTTTGAAATGAGTTCTCATTCAGTACATATCTACCAAATCAAGTTTCTGTTGTATGGAAGACCATACGCCAACAAAACCTGCAACAATAACCAGCTCCAAAGGAAAAGAAAAACAATATTGGCAAAGAAAGAATATAACATAAATACAGCGTATAGAACTGCCTAGTGTGTGTTAATCTGTAACGACTAGTTGCACTTGTCAATAAACTTTTTTCCTGATTTAGGACATAATTCCACTTTTCCTTTAATATAAGTTACTCTGAGACAAGATATTCCATAATTGAGGTAATCAAGAATTTAATTATTTATTGAATATAAAGCAACCCAAAAAAAACTCCATCCCAGTCTAATTTATCATACATATGTGACATATCTAGGGTGACAGACTTATCACTAATCTGTCAAACTGACTTTGCTCAGTAAAACCCTGTTAGCAAACACTTTTCGCTTATCATTTTGTAGAAGAACATGTAGAAATAATTTCTATTAAAGACGATTTTCATATATTAAAAATATAACTGTCTGCATTACATCTGACCTGACCCAGATTTTTTGCATAGTCAGTTTTTTATGATAACAACAGCTTGTTTCCAGAACTATTTAAAGGTTTCACTTCTCCAATATGGGACGAATTCAAATCGGCAATGATCAATTATCTATTTTATGATTAACAAAAGACGTTGGTCTCCTAGCACTCATTATAATGTCACATTCGTCAGCCTAAAAGTGAATTAGATTTTAAAAGTTTACCCAGGAAACAGTAAAGCTGAAGCAAAATAACCAAACTTGTGAACATTTTTTATATTAAAGACAAGACTTAAACCTGTTCCATCTAATCTGATAATTTAAATCAATCTAAAAATGATCTTCTTCTGGCCAGAAAAAAACATTAGCAAAAATTATTACAATATGAAAACAACCCCAAAAAAACAGACAAATTCACAATCAAAAAAAATATTAACATTAACAGAAGTAAAGAGGCATTCTCCTACTGTCACACTAAAGTCTATATGTTTTTGTTTGGAACGTCTTAACAAAAGCACTACTCACCAGTAAACATACTTGGCATTTACTTCAATCGCAATTGGATGCTGAAAGAAGATAAAAGAATCTGTCATTTTCTTTTCATTAATGTTGAATTTAAGTTGTAAAACACAATACACAAACACAATAACGGTCACATTTTTTGCCAGGAACAGACAGACAGTAAAAGCGCCCACAAACAACCAAACTATTATAAAAGAAACCACAGACAGGCTAGAACAAAAAACAGGAAAAAACCCAAAAGATATAAATTACTCATTTCTCAAAATCTCGTCTGTTCTCAACATGTCCACAATACATACATGACCTATCAGTTGATACTCCATTTACCTTCTTCCACAAATGCTACAACTCAAAAAAGATTGGCCTGTGTGTTCCTAACGAGTATGTTTCCTTGTGCTTGTACCCTTCCCATCCCCTCTTTTTGTCTCTTGACATCTTTCTCCTTCATTTTTTTTTTTACCTTCTTGGTAAATGATAATATAAAAACATCATAAAACAAAACAAAAAAAAGTGCGATAACAAGCCATTTTTCAGACATACAATAACAGTCCCTGACTTGTTACTTGCCTTAGAAGTTTCAAAGTGTTGTAGGGCATGCTGTTGGTTCATACGACCACAGGCCACATTTTCGCAACTGAGACATGCCTGTGCAAAAGGAAATAAGAATAAATATAATGTAAATAAAATTTTGAACTTGAACAGTACAGTTGCGCAATCAATAACTGTTTCCAAATATGCCGCTGACATTGCTGGTACACAAGTATATCATAAAGATATAATATTTGGATGTGAAAAAAAAAGCTTTTCTTAGCCTTAAGCGCTCAAGTATATTTCAAACTTCAAACAATGTGCCCTGAGCTGAAAACTACAGTCGAACCTGTGTAAGACGGCCACCCATTGCCAAGGAGAAAAGCGGCTGTATAAGACAGGTGGCCGTCTTGGGCAGGACTAATCAAGATGAAGAAAACAAACCATTCCTTTCTGAGGTCCCAACCAAAGGTAGCCGCATTGTTGTTGTTGTTTTCACTGGGGTTTTCTTCCTTTTTTTTTCTTTTGTTGCTGCTATTGCGCAAGGGTGACAATAAAACGAAATGTGTCAGACAAGGAGGATTGAGAGCTATGGTAAAACAAACACACGGGTTGTCACCACTCGGAGAACGAGCGACGCTTCTGTCACAAGTTTATGTTGATGTCCATTGTTACTTTGTTACCAACTGGGTAAACAGTGACCACTCATCTCACTTACGATTTGTGTATGAGTTCTGGGCGGGGCTTATGGGTTATGAGGGATCACACTCTTACCTCACCAGCTGCTGAAAAATCGTTACCTATTGGTCAACAGTGGGAGGGGCCTACGCAACATGATCGGTTGGAGGGACTACCTAACAACAACATAAACAGGTGATTGGATTATGACGACTTGCCCACAACACCAGGGGCCAATGTATGATTTATGACAAAATGTAATGGAGTCGCTAAGGTGGCCGTCTAAGACAGGGATTATTGTTTAGTGTGATAGGGGTTGTGTGTTAAAATATGGTGGCCACGGCCATGTTGGACAGGTGCCCGTTTTACACAGTTAAAATTATATAGAAAAGACGCAAGGGGGGGGGATGGAAAGTGGCCGTTTGTTCAGGTGGCCGTCTTAAAGAGGTGGCCGTCAGGGCAGTTTTGACTGTACTAGCATAGCCAATTCTATGAACCAAAGAGAAATGACTCACAACCTTATATGCTGTGTACTTGTCATTTCTTCATCTACATTAAAGCTTCAGATATGGCAAAATTTACCTCATAATTGTTCATATTATGACCACTTTGGACTTCATGCTTATCAAAACACAATAATGGAGTGCATACAGTGGTCGGGGGGGGGGGGGGGGTATGTTTCCTCAGGGCTTAACCCTTTCACAAAATAATGCTTTATATTTTTTATTTTTTTTTATATTAAAAAAAGAAATAAAACGTATAGATCTATATATATTTCTGATTTGTCTGAAACTCAACCATCCAGTTACTTATCATTTATAAAACTTAACTTCTCTGTCAATACTTAGAAATATTTCTAATATAGTGTGGATCGCTTTGAATTTCTCCATCCCATATCATTCAAATGGTGATGGATGGGACACACCTTAAGGAAGCCCAGCGGAAACATCACAAGACAGTCACTGCAGTGGAACCCACAAGGAGCACGAGGCAGGGGTAGGCCACGGGAAACATGGAGGAGATGCGTGGAAAGGGACATGAGAGAAATGAACCTCACTTGGAACGAGCTTGGAAGGATGGCTCAGGACAGAGATAAATGGAAGGAGCTTGTATGTGGCCTATACCCTGCCAGGGGTGAAAGGCATTGATGATGATATCATTCAAATCCATGACAGATATATAAAGTCAATAAGTGAGGGACATACTACAAAGTCTATTACCACTTATTGATGTACTCTTTGGACACAATTACTGATTTGGAGATAGGTCATAACTGCATGGAGAGAACAGTCTAAAGGATAACATCTGTAGAATTGAAAGTCTTAAGGACATACAAAGATTAAAGTTGTGCACATTACAAGATGGTTCCTTTTTTTCTATTTGGGACCCCCTCCCCCGGACCAATTTTTTTTTTTTTTAAATAACAATGAATTCCCAAATAACATATATATATATATCACCGTGTGCAAGGTACAATTTTGGGGGAATGGAGTGAATGATGTATGTGGGATGCACAGATTAGGAACCAAGACTGCCAAAAAGAAATCTCTATTGAGAAGAGTCCCGTTGTTGACAAAACATCATGATACTTTACAGTGAGAATGAAAGAAAACCATTTTGCAATTTAATCATTAATACAAGTCAAGCAGCAAAGAAAAAAAAGGACTAACCCAGACCCACTCTGTAGTGCCACACTCAGAGCACAACCATTTACTGGGATTCAGGATGGAATGGTTCGAGGCCACAATCAAACCAAGAACATGGGCACATGTATCCATTGGCCGTCAATATCTGCAATCATTCACACTGCAAAAAACAAAAAATTAGAAAACAAAAAATGAATTGAACAAAATTACATAACAATGTTTCATTCAAATCACTGACTTCGGTTAAAAACCTATCAAATGACAACTGTATATGTTTCTAAGTGTTACCAAACATTAAAAAAAACTCCCAATACAAAACTATAATACAACTATTACTCTTACTCCTGCTTGCTTTGAAGCATTACCTTCCTTTTCTGAAAACAAAAAAACTGTGTCTGAGAAAGACAGCTCTACTACAAGACCATACACACAGTAGAGTCCACCTATAGTATACTGAACTTGGACTTCACTAATTTTTGCTCGAAATAAACTAATTGTAACAATTATTTCCCTTTTTGTGCTCAGTAATTCAAGCCCGATTGATAAGAATGTTTTAGACATGCTTTTTGCATTTATCATTATAGTGAAGTTTTTACAAGCAGTACATAGTGTGACTCAAAAAGAAAACTAGTAGAGTAAAGTCAGGTGTGCGTCCACCTTGGCCTTTAGAAAACCATGATATCAGCTATTTTCGTATCGATCCAAATTTTGAAAGTATTGGCATGACCGGCAGAATTGGACGCATCACCAATCTTAATTATCATCTCTGTATGCTTAATAGACTTCATTCTACATTGCATTTTAATGCGTCCACTTTGGTCGGGTGACGCATCCACTTTGCTGGTGAATGCGTCCACTAGGTCTGGTCAGTGCCACCACCACCCTAATTCTTCATAACATTAGAAATAAATGATGTTTTAACATAGAATCTAGATCTATGTTCACCCAGTCTGTCATTCTTCAACCTATTATTATCCACTCACTCATTCTTCATTATGTAAGAAATAAAAATGAACCTTTAGATCTATGTTAAGATATTTCATTTATTAACATTTACATTAGATGAAGTGACAAAAACATTTACATGTAGACTATATATATCAATTTACAACCAAATATCTTTATGCTTATGTAGATTTATTTAAAACTTTAGTTTGCAATGTTCAGTAATTTAAATGCAAGTAAATTTATGTATTCAAAATATGTAGATGGATGGTAAGTTACAAGTAAGTACAAGGGAGTTATGAAAAAGTGGGCATGAAAACATCACTAATAAAAGTCACTGCTCCTAGCTCTTCGACCTGTCTTTCCACTCAATTCTTCCTTTCTGCTGCTTGTTGCATGCCATCACCTATCACATAATTCACATTGTACCTACAGTCCATGTCCATGGCTCCGACACCCTCTACAACTACTGTCCTTCATCCCATGCATTTCATCATCCACCTCATTCTCATCATCTATCAGAATATATTCATCTCTACCACTCTCTCTGTCACTTTCTACATTCATTCTTTTCTTCAGAGCAGCTTCTTCCCGCTTTCTTTTCTTATTTTCAGCCTCCTCGTGTTTCTTCTTTTTTCTCACCTTCTCTTCTGCCTTCTTCTTTTTCATCTCTTCTCTTTCCTTCTTCTTTTGCTCTTTCACCCGAAGCACATCCTCTTTCTCAGCTTCTTTTTTCTTAACATCTCATTATAAATAATATTCATTGCCATTAAGGGCCTTCTAGACATGAAAGACATTTGTTTTGAGTTTTTTTAATGTTACAAAAACAAAAAAGTTAATGTAGACGGTCTAAATCTTGATCTCTACATCTAATGGGATTTAAGTTTTAAAAAACTAAAATTTTAACAAAAATAAATATTTGATTGGTAATAGATGTGTACAGGTGGCTGAGTGAATGACATTTATGCATTTTTATAGGATGTGAACGCTTTCACCATACCGAATCTACAAGGTCAGTGAGTGCCTCCACCCATGGACGCATGACCAGACCATACTAAAACTTGGTATGGATAGCGCATCCACCCCCCTTGAGACTCAAATTTCCATTGTTGAAAGGTACAATGGACGCAACTATATTTTACTACCTTTGTAAAGGCTAATAAAAGCTAGTAAGGGCGCTTGGAGTTCGTTAGTTGCCAAGCAACCAACTAGCAAATAAGCGTCTCCGCTAGTGTAACTCACTAATGAAGAAAACGAAGTTTTAATTACCAAAAAATGGCGACTTCCAGAGTAAAAAACGGAAGTAAAAAGCTAAATGAAATGGAAACTGCTTATACTTTTTAATTACAAGACCGGAATCGATCCAACAGCGATGAATAACGAAATACAGCGAGTGGACGCATAGACCAGGTGGACGCGACACCCTACTTTACTGTTCTACAGTAAAACCTCAGTATAACATACTCTCAGCTTTAAACTTACTCTCAGCTTTAAACTTACTCTCAGCTCTTAACTTTTTGAAGCCGTGAGTCCCACTTAGTATTTTTACTCTTTAAAAGCTATGTCTAAAACATCTGCTTAAAATGTACTTTCTACTAAAACGTTCACAATTCAAGTGATTTTAGTGATCAAAAAATCCATTTACAATGTACATTGCGAGAATATATAACGAAAAAACACAAAATCAGGAATGCAACATTATCAGCTACAGTGAGATGGTGAATTATTCTAAATCACTATATTATTATTTCATGCGCAGCTGTCTAAAGCTGACATTCCATATGCCCGAAAAACCGATGCCAACTTCGGGTGCCAATTTCGCTTGCGAATTATTTTTTTCGCACCAATGTTTTTGTCATTGGGTGAATCCATATACCGGAATTTCGCATGGCCGAGTCCGAAATTCGCATGCAAAGATTTTGTTTCGCACGAGGGAGCGAAACTTTTTTCTTCGCATGCGAATTCTTCGTGAAGTGGGCGGGGCTTATTTCCCGCCAAATCTACTTCAAAGGAACGAAGCAGCATAGAACATGATAGAAGCACTAGATAAGTGGGGAAAACGTCGAAATGTTGATTTCCTTGGTTTGAGAGAGAAGTGTTAAAACCAAGACTGAAAAGAAGTGTTTAATTTCAAGGTGGCTGTCATTTGCATGGCAACCACTTTTTTTTTTTAGTTTGTGGGAAACTTTGGGGAGTCTATGTAATCTATCTATGCTATCATTTATCGTTTAAATCATGTAATAACTAAAAATAGCTTTTCACTTACACCCCCCCCCCCTCCTTAATCAAATGCACTTGAATATAACTTCTAACATACATTAATTACAACTTAAGATTGCTGTCTGTGCCGCAGCCACATCAGCCAGCGCTGTCGGTGATAGGACCGAAGCTTCGCAAAGAAAACGACCCAAGAAAGCAAAGCTTATGAAGGAAGTACCATCATCAAGTCTGGACAAAGCAATTTAAAGCTTCTTTCGTAGGAACAAGAGTTCTAACAGCAAAATTCTCTTGTTTTCAACGTAGAGTGCTTGCTCTGACTGAACTGGTGCCGTGATTTCAGTCAGATGACGGATGCGAATTTCGCGTATATGGAAGGAGGGCTCTTTTTTCATCGCACCCAAATTTCGTACACGAAATTCGCAACCGAAGTTCGCATCGGTTTTTCGGGCATATGGAATGCCAGCTTTACACTGTCTGTGCACAGAGCTTTGTAATCTCTCAGTAGTGCCACTTCACCTTTGGAAAAACATCAGTTATGCCATAATCAGGGGAGGGCAAACATTAGTTTGACACAGTGTTAAACAATTCCTGCAGTTTGTGCTGTGGGTGATGGTCTTATTCAACGAAAAACATTTTTTTTAAAATAAGGATAATTGCTTGAATTACTCAGCTGCTGCGTCCAACATAGTTTGTAATGATGCACAATCAGTATCAAAGGCTTGCCCCGCATTCTGATGGTTTCTTTTGTTTTTGAAAAAAAAAAAGCCGACAGCCAATAACTAAACTCCCCCCAGCCCCCTCAACTCGACTATGACAAGCCCCCTAAGACATCTCTTCTTCTTCTTCTTCTATCCTGTGGTTGGTGCAACCGTTGGGGCACCACTGCATTTGAAAACCAGCTCTCGCCATCTATTTTTGTCCTCTGCTCTCCTCAGATTGTCACCCATCGTCTTTCCTGTCCACTCTGTAATGTTGTCCTCCCATCTCTTTCTCTGCCTTCCTCTCTTTCTCTTTCCTTGTACGGTTCCTTGCAGGATTGTTTTGGCAAGTCCTGTGGATCTTGTGACATGCCTGTACCATTTTAGCTTTCGTCTCTTCACTGTGGTCAGTAGATCTTCATATTGCCCCACTGTGTTGGTGATTCTCTTTCGTACTTCAGCATTTGAGACGTGGTCTTTGTACGAGATGTCAAGGACCCTAAGGCATGATAACACTCAAAATTACCTAATTTCTTAGAAAGTCATAGGAGAGGCAACAAATGATCTAAAACTGCCAAACAAAAAGGAAAGGCCTGCAACTGTGACTTTTTCTTTCTCCAAAATACTAACAAGCCTTTACTTACTGATTCACATAAAAGATAACATTTGTTACCCCCTTGGTCTGGTACTTTCACCTATCATCATCCACTAGAGAACTGGAGGAGTATAGGAAGGCTTTCTTTACGTGGACATGTGATATTAAATCTAGACACACCAGAGACAAGCCCAAGAGTGGGACAATGATGGTGGTTGAAAAGAGTGTTCATGTTCCTCATGCCTGTTGTGTAGCCCTGACCAGTCCATGGAATTAGGGCCGATTACGCAAAATTTTCCGGGTTTTTTAAATCTGTTTATTTGTCAATAAAAATGAAGGGAAAAAAGAAGCAGGGGACAAACAATGTGATGAATGTACCACATCATGATCTCCTTAAAAAATACTCAGTGCCCATTTGAGGATCGGTTTGATTTCTTGCGACTTCGGTGCTTACTTATAAATATAGACCAGCAGCCCAAACCGGTCACCCCACCATAAGCCTTGAAAACAAACGGATTTTTGTTATATTATTATTGAAAGTATTCATCTCTTTTTATCAGTTTCATCGGTTTTGCCTCTCCCGTGGAGAACAATTTGGCTAGCTCCAAACCAACAAAACCGAACCAATTATATAGCCAATGCGGCAACGCCTATTTGGGTACACATAGTAATATAGGCCTCTATGAAAAGTATGAGTTCTCATTTGACTGTTTTTATTCAATTTGGGAGTGGAGGGGCGAAGGCAAAGTTAGGCAAAGAAGAAGGGCAAGACCAATAGGCCCATTCCGATCTGTATCTTTGTCAAAACCTTTTCCACTTCAAATTCTTAAACTTAAACTTTAGCATCCTGAGCTAGATTCTACTTAGCCTCAGTAGCCTCTAAAATTAAAGCACAGCAGCAGCAGCATCAGTCAGCAAGAAATATTTTAGATCATTTTTTGTTGTTGTCCCTAATGTTATTTTAAAGGAAGAGGTTTCTCATCCCCGGTGAGAATAACTTATGTCTCGCTATTCTCACCCCCCTACCTTGTTTTACCGGAAATGACCCAAGAGGGTTCAGGAGAGAGGATACCGAGGCTGATGCTCCACAGGATTGTGTTGGTGTCCGAATAGACATGTAGATAAATATATATCTAGATTTAGATCTAGTCACAATCAGGGTTGTCAAATTGGAGGGAAGTCCCAGAAATCTGGCTCTTTTGGATCACGTCTGGCCCGGAAAAATTCATTTGGCTCTCTTGCTCTTTTTTTTGGCTCCAAACTCCAAATATTCAAGAAGAAGGGGACAGAAGAGGCAAGAAAGAAAATATTAAAAGAACAAAATTAAAGTGAAGAAAAGAGCTTGGATTGCTTTTATTTTTAAAAATTATTAAACTAGTTAACATGATTTAACGCCCTCGCCCATTTCGTCTGAATAATTTACAACCCTTCAACCGTCATGCAAGAGTATAAATTTTAATAGTCACGTGCTTGTGTCTCGTTCTAGTTCATACACACGCTCTCTGTTCCTTTTAAAAACCATTTATCGTGTGCAGGCAGATAGGCCTGCCACTGCAAGTGTGTAAACAACTAATTAACTAATAGTTCGGCCGGCGGCCGGTCCCACATCCCGCTCAGTAGCGTCGGTAGTGAGCCTTCTTTTTACTGGAGAGGCGAAAAATGTTTTTACATTATTATATTATTATTATACTAATTATACGTTCCCACCAACAACATGCGGTAAGCCACCAAGGGCCGAGGTTATTTTATCGGCCTGCGAGAGGCAAGGGGTGAGTCCTCGCCTCATGCCCACACCGGGGTGGGAGTTTTTCTCCCCGGGGGGGTGAGAATAGCGAGATATAGGTTCGGGGTGAGAATAGCGAGACCTGGGTTATTCTCACCAATAAATGTGGCCTATTTAAAAGTATGGGGTTGTTAGTTGCTGACTGTGAATGTGAACTTTTTATGAATTTGAAGCATAAAATCTAGATCTAGATCTAGCTATTGTGTTATGGGTAGCCTCAATATTTACTTTTTAAGAAAGCAATTGGTCTCAGTTTCAAGTTTTTAAAAAGCATGATGATTCAGCCGAGTTCTATAAAATGAAATGAATAAATAATGGACGGTACACATATGATAGATTTACTAATAAACACTTGGTAGGCCACTCAACAAACTCAATAAAAAAAAAGATTGCTTCTATAGTTTAGCATATATTTGCGTTGGAGGACACAAATTAAACAAAACAGATAAATAAAGCGTTTACAAAAAGATCAGAAGATCAAGATGGTTATTATTACCAAAATCACAACCAAAGAAATTAACATTCTCGAGGGCAGACTGCAAGAATCTTTGCCTTGCCTTGGTCTTCGACGTCCGAAAAATTTGTACCAGTTACAGTTACTTCCCTTGGTGAGCTCTTCGTGAAAAGATACAGAAAAATTGATAAGTTCGTGTGCGACTTATTTTATACCCATTTCGTTTTGCACAAAGACACCAAGCCAAGCTTACTTGAGACTACAATAATTTTTAAACAACAAAAGTCTCTCTCTCTCTCTCTCTCTCTCTCTCTCTCTCTCTCTCTCTCTCTCTCTCTCTCTCTCTCTCTCTCTCATACATACACACACACCTGACCACCTCACAGAACACCATCAAAACTCTCACTCCTGCCAACATAACAAAAATCTCACAACTGTCCTGGCAGCCTGACACCTCAGTCCCAGGTACCAGACTGTAAAACAGAGATAAATATGTCAAAAGGTGTGGACCTCAGACCTCCAAGCCAAAGAGAAACATTTACATATTACACAAACAGCTGTGTAACTGTTTCCGTCTGGTCAGAAAGCGGGGACAAGATGATAATATTATTATAATTTGTGATTTGTTGCCGGCATAACCCTCCCCCGCCTCCATACACGATCTCCCATCTTTGCCCGTACCAGTCCCTGGCTGTTCTTACGACTGGTCAGTTTCTTCTTCTTTCAATCCATTCTTCTCTCAGTCTCTTTTTCTATCAATCTCTCAATCTCTCAATCTCATTCGCCTTCTTGAGTCTGTGGGGTTACAGAATGCGAACACTTCCTTATTGGAAAAAGATGAGGCACGAAGCGTCTTTGTTCTCCGTAGAACGAATAGCGGTCAACAAAAGGTTGTGTGTGTGTGTGTGTGTGTGTGTGTGTGTGTGTG